CAGATATGTAATTACTTTTGCAATTTCTGTATTAAAATTTGTCAGTAATTCTTGAATAATAAATTTAGCTGCCCTCAATAGATGACGGTAATTTAAGGAAGTATTGTGAAATTGTATCCATGCTTTCGTCCGAAAATATTTGATCCTTAGGCTAGACAGGAGTTTCAAGTTAACCCAGGTCTCATCAATATTTCAAAGGAGATTCTAACTCAAGCCTTGCGTGAATGTAGGTAGCGTCGTCTTGATGCGGTCAACTTTTGCGAGATAAGGCTAAATGTAAGTCTATAGCATCATCAAAGTTTCTCTTCTTCGACATGATCTACTTAATGTTCGTTTAAAAGTATATTTCGAGGTTAATTGTAGATCATGAAGAAGGTTTTTGCCCTATTTAGCTTAGGTTGATTACGCAATGATAATTGGATTATCCAACAATCCTATGATTAGGCCTCTCATTTCATACTAATATCACATGGCCCTACTCTCCTAAAGGTATTCTTATTTAGGATGGACTGCATTTTCAACCTCGCCTCGGTCTCCTCGATTACCAGTTGATCTTCACCATAAACGAAATATGGAAAATATTATTCATATAAAATGGCAATTGATAGCTTCGAAATCCGACTTTAAACAAAATATAAAAAATGTAGTCGATTACTTTTGACAGATACAGCTTTAGCTCATCAACTATCCCAGCAAAATCTACGTCTGCCCTTTAATTTAAGGGCTCATGTGCCAGTGTTTTTCTTAGTTTTTGAGCCAGGCACAAAGCCGGGTTTGAGTCTCGCCGGGGGGCTGCTGAAACCTAGACGAGGCTGCGACTGTATTCCACCTTAGCTCGATTGAGAATAGCTTTTAGGAAGGAAACCTATGTGAAATTCAATGCTAACCTAAAACCTACTGATATAATTGTGGGAAAATTCAACTACCATGTGGATACCTTTAATATATGTAATGCCTAGACCTGTATCAGAGGCTAACTTGAACTGGTGTGCTTGTAGGCATGAAGAAAAAGATTGTGTGGCCTCTAATTTGGTCGAAGTCTCCTTGAGCTGTATTGGATTGGTCTTAGCTGGTTTTCACAATTTAGTTGTTTTGTCAAGGCAACCTCGAAGAATGTATGGTTCTAGCTCGGGGCTAAGAATTGCAAGGCCCCATGATGATGTCAATAGAATATCTTGGAATGTACCTATTTTACAGCCCGAGATTCATTAGCACACAGATCAGGATAATAAACGTTCTTCGAATTTGCCATGACAAACTAACACAGTTGTGAAAAGTATGTTATACCAGCTGTGATACACTCGAAGGTATGAAGAGGAAGATGGGATAGTTCAGTTGCTCTTTCGAGTTGTAGTTTTGTGCTACAGCTGGCAAGGCTTACTGATCACGTCGATCACGTCGGAGAATGTACCAAGCCCACCGTCATGTACTGTCAAGGTTGCCTAGGCAACACGACCAATTTGTGAAAACGAGGTTGAATCACTGTTGTGCAGAAGTTGTACCATTTGGAATGGTCTTCCGACGGCAAATGACTGCTCCTATTGGACTTGAGTTCATTTATTGAAATGTGTACAGGTAAATATGTGCAAATAAGTAGGTTTCGATACTGGCAATAATCATTGAATGAGCTTAAAAAATGCACAGTTGAGCTTCCTCCCTGATTCTATTAAATGCCACCTGGTCGTGTCTCATCTAGGGTTGACATTTCATTTTTGGTTTGTCGATTAGGCAAATATGCATTTGCTACTACTCATTTTCGATATAAGTAGGCTCGAGTAAAGATTAAATGAAGGGCATTTCTGGTGACTTTGGCGGTTTTCTTTTACCACTTGACCCAGGTGGTCGAAAACAGGTTATTAACTCAAGAAGCCACCAACCATAACGCAAACCACGGGATAGAAGGGGGGTAGTGACTATTGGCGACCAACTCCAAAGTCCAATGTACACGTCTTCTCAGTCTGGAGGCATTTTCAACTGTCCTTACCCAACGGGGTTGAGGACAGACTGGCATAGGGATGATGACAGACTCGATTGTTACACCAACCGGGTGACCAGCCGAACTGTATGATGGCCTCCACACATACACACGCATGAGGGGTAAAGGATATCAGGACTGATCTATATGCGATGAGCCAAGCTACATTCGTGTGCACACATACAACATGTGGGTAGACACATCTTTTGTGCTCCCTTCGGGTATGGACGAGGTGGTTTGAGGACTGTCGCGGTAGAGCTGGCCGCTACGAGGCATGCAAGCGAGAGAGAAATAGCAGTTTGGCTCCACAAGTCAGTCGTGAAGATCAGTCGGCAGAGTCGCCTGACGGCTCTGTCGCGTATGCCTGCAGAGACGCTACGACGCAAAGTCTGCCAACAGTCAAAGAGACTTTCGAAGAGGCCTCAAAGCCGGGCAAAAGTCTGCGAAGCGGCAGTCTGTCAACCGATTGGTGGTGGGCGCGTAAGGGCTAGAGGTTCTCGGTCGGACGAGCCGAGGTGTAGCATGGATAAATGACATTTGTTGGGATTACTTCCATTTCGAGTGGAGGTGTTGGGTGAAAAGAGATTGGAAGCTCGTCTCCACCGTCCCGTTAGGCCGTCGTCTTCCGATGAAAAAGACCTTTGAATCTCTTTTCAACCAAAACTTCCACTCGAAATCTAAGTAATCCCAACAATTATGAAACAAGAGATTTTTTGAAACTTAACTTTTTTTTCGTATAAATGACCATGTTGCGATTACTTCCATTTCGAGTAGAAGAGTTGTGTGAAAAGAGTTTCGTAGAGGGTTTGTCCTTTTTTGGGTCTCTTCAGCCCCTTTAGCGGTACTCAAACCGAAAGTATAATAATTACCATGGCCTAGTATGTATGAGTATACATTTTACAAAACAATTCTTTCCGCCCAACCAAGTGGCGCAGACGAGAGGCAAACCAACAATATTACCGATTATAAAAGTGGGTTGACCTCGTTGTCGCAACTTGATCTTGTTGTCAGGGCTAGGTAGTAGAAGGCACCTAGTTCGAAGTTCTCTGCCATAGTAGTTGTCATAATTCCCAGCATCAGACAGTGGACTTGGTACATTTAAGAATGTACCACGTCCACGGTTCAACTTTGTAAATGATCTTACAGACAATGGACTCCGGACTTGGTGTGTTCCAATAAGTCTTCCTACCAATATGACCATGTTGCGAAAA